AAAGTTTACTCAAACTTGAAATAAAAAATAAAAATTAAATTAACCCTCGTTAGGATATCGTTGCAAATAAAGATCTGTTTCTCAGAAAGATCCTGATTTTCTGATAAATATTCTGTTGTAACTTCTACAAGGTTTAAGATATGAAAAACATTTTTGAATATTTCATCGCTATCAAATCTGCGGAAACATCTGGAATATAATTTCAAATATTTGTGAAGATTTGAATTCTCAATTGCATAATTAATTAAAAATTCATGTGAATTTAAAAAATCGGTAGATGAAATTTGCATGGGTATAAGAGGAAGTACACAATAATACCCCTGAACTACATACTCTGTAAATGAATAGTGAGGAGAAAGACTTCGCAGAATTTCAAGTGTTTTTATGAATTCTAAAGCCATCTCAGATGTTATATCGACTGCTTTATAAAATAAAACTATAAATTTGAGAAGATAAACAAAATCTTCGTTATTTATAATTGAATTCACGTCATTAAAAAAGTTGAAATAATTTGATATTAGTATATCCGAACATGGAAGAGCAGTTGCATATCCTGGGTAATATTTTAATAATTTTGTAAAGAAATTTGCAATTGCATAAGTTGAATATTGATTTTCGTACTCAATAATACTAGAAAAAATTTCTTTCTTGAGTAAAACTGCGTTTTGGAAGAATTCAACGTCAAGAATATTGTTTTTAATCAAAGCAATAAATGTATCGATGATATAGAGAGAATTGTCACTGCTGCTTATGAAACGTAATATCTCATCATATTGATCGGAAAATGTTGATAAATAAAGGTATTGTATGTTATCTAAAGCTTTAAAATGAATTAATTTTAATGAAAAAATGAAAAAAATCTGGTTAATATAATGCGATAAATATTCGAATAAATTTTCCAGTAGTATCAAATCTATTTGAAAGATATTCGAAGAAGTGATATTTTGAATTGTGAATTTTAATATTGTTTCATTTTGTGTAGATTGCTCGATAATGAAATGTATCAAAAGATTCATTGAATATGAGTCAATGGAAAAGCTTAAATCCTTAGGGATATCCAAAATAAATCTTAATAAAGAAGATTCGTCTTGAAAATTAGCTTCCGAAAGTTCTATTTCAGTCGGAGCTGGAAGATTCCGATCATTTATGAATCTCGAAACGACAGAAAATTTGTATTGTTTATATTTCATTATTCGAAATGATAAACTTCAAAATCTAAAATTTATTTTTTTACAATATATTTCATCCTATTGTCAAGGCTAAATTTTTCACCGGAAGTGTATCAAAAATTGATAAGATTTACGGTGATCTAATTATGACAATTCAATGCATCTCGTGATATAACGCAGATATAAACACAACTGATATTGCATAACTAATAATTGAGTCAAATAACTAAATTATGTGTTATATTTTACACATATTTCTTCAATTTTGTAATAAATGGATGTTTAACACTAATTTTTTAAGGACTTCGACTTTAGCATCACATAAATATGTTATTTTCTATATTAAAACGTAATTTTGGTGGTCTTAGAATAGAAAAATATGCAATATTCGTGGAGATAATGAGGGTTCTTAAACATGTTCTTAAAAATAAATAAAATAATACAAATCTTTATTCAATCTTTTGATATTGTTGGTCCTCTCTTTGTGAAAATACTTAACTTCAAAGAGTATTATGTTTTACCTAGTGAGGACCTTAAGTTTGCAAAAACATAATAAAAGTAAAATAAAAAAGATCGGATTTATCACAAAACTTTGAGTATTATAGGATTTAATATATTTTCTTAGTAGATTATATGATTTAGTTTCTTAAAATCTAAAGTATTTCTTGAGGAAAATATAAATTGAAATTCAAAAAGTAAAAAAAATGTAAACAAATCAAATTTTAAATGGACCAAATGTTGATTTTTCATTCGTTTTCTCATTATCGAAAAAAATTTGGAAAGCTAAGAAGTCAATAACAAGTTATATAATACAACAAAACCACATCGGATATGTTTTCATCAAATAGTCTCCTAGATTTGTTATGAAATTAAAATATCATGATATTTTAAGGGCTTTTGATTTCAATATTAGAATTATTCAGTTATGTCGTGCTAATATCAATTGCTTTATACAATTAATCGTTTACAAGCTGCAAAAATCGAACAATAATTTGACTTTGTAAAAAAAGTGCGTCATTTTTATTCGTTATACTTACAAAATGTAAACATTACGAGAAACATTTACATTTGTAAATGTAACAAGTAAAGTTGTATCGCATAATTTGACTTTGTAAAAAAAGTGCGTCATTTTTATTCGTTATACTTACAAAATGTAAACATTACGAGAAACATTTACATTTGTAAATGTAACAAGTAAATACATCAGATTTAAATTGTAAATGTAGTTTATCTCTCTCATCTCCTTTTTAAAAGGTATTACATACATACGAACGCATGGGTCACTCAATAATTAGCGTGATAATAATTGAGGATAGACTGTAATCGTAATTTTATTTTTGGACTTATATTTCGACATTTTGAAGTCGCTTGAAAGTCTTGCAAATGATTAAATTTGGAAAATTTGACCTAAGTCTGCATTATTTTGATGACTTAAACAATTCTATAAATCTGTTTTCCTAAAAATTTAAAAAGATATAATTTCAATTTCCCTAAATTTATGTAATTCATATATCACCAAAATATTTGGACTGCATTTCGTTTGTCTGCACCTAATTAAAGTCTAAATACCAATTAATTTTGGAGTTGCATTGCTTTTAATGTAAAAATGCACGTTTAGAAAAAGACGATAACAATTAAATTACAAAATCGATAACCTCTCAACATTTTTTTTGTATTTTCCTTCAAAATGCGATTCATATAAGAATTTGCTAAATTCATTTCACTCCTTACTTTAAACGCATCATTTTAAAATAATTTAATATGGAATGTTGTAAACAGAAATTCATCAAAAGTGACACCTCAGAAAAGCTACAATATTGAATTTTTGGAACTTTTGATAGAGCACGTTTTTAAATATTAATTAAAGTAAATGTATATTTTGTAAAGATTCTTTTTAATAAAAAAATAAAATTTTGAAGAAGAACACAAAATCTTCTGAAAAATAATATCACATAAACTCATATTATTTTCTAATATATAACTATTTTATATAAAAATCAAATTCAATGATCTTAAAAGCGAAGGATAAACCTCAAAATTTACGAATATAATGAGTGGGAATATAATGCTTATCTATCATAAAACCATATGAAATATCAATTTTTGCTTTACGCCTAATTTTTGACGACAATTAGCAAAAAATGTTAAATGTTAACACTCAGTCCATTTGAATATGAAAAATAAAATTGACTTTGATTAAATGTTTTTATTTATCATGCAATTCTTCTTGCGACCAAAGATTTGAATAAAAGTTCAAAAAATAAGATAGCTTAAAAAATAATATACGGTAGTGTTTACTAATAGATGAATAGTATATAAATTCTATTAAAATGGATTTGATCCAAAAAAATATATAAAATTTGATCATAAATAAAATCGTTTTAAATTACTTATTCATTTAAATTATAACAATTATTTTTGGTTTTATATTTTTTTGGATCAAATCCATTTTAATAGAATTTATATACTATTCATCTATTAGTAAACACTACCGTATATTATTTTTTAAGCTATCTTATTTTTTGAACTTTTATTCAAATCTTTGGTCGCAAGAAGAATTGCATGATAAATAAAAACATTTAATCAAAGTCAATTTTATTTTTCATATTCAAATGGACTGAGTGTTAACATTTAACATTTTTTGCTAATTGTCGTCAAAAATTAGGCGTAAAGCAAAAATTGATATTTCATATGGTTTTATGATAGATAAGCATTATATTCCCACTCATTATATTCGTAAATTTTGAGGTTTATCCTTCGCTTTTAAGATCATTGAATTTGATTTTTATATAAAATAGTTATATATTAGAAAATAATATGAGTTTATGTGATATTATTTTTCAGAAGATTTCATTCTATATGCCTATGAAAAGTACTCTCAAAACTAACTTTTTCCTAATTATAATTAAATCTAGAATATTGTATTATGCTTAGTATTATTTCATTTTTCTCATTCAATTTAGAATTTACAAATGTCAAAAAATTGAGAGCTGTCACTTTTGATGAATTTCTGTTTATTACAGGAAATAAAACTCAACTGAATGAAAACCACAATTATAAAATCGATAATGGAATAAAATACACAATAAGCCATAAAATGTTTATGAACCGCTTATATTGTATAAATTATGATTCAGCTTTTGAGAAAAATTGGAGCGTATGAAAAGATGTAATATGGAAATCTGGCATTGTAAAAAATGAATATAAAAATCATGCATTATATTTCTATTCACTTTACAGCAAACTTATAGTTGCCTCAAACATGTCCAATTTTAGATATATCAATGTGAAACGAGATATGGATAAATTTTTGTCAACTCATTGAGAAATTTTGAAGTATCTGAATTGTCCTATTACAAAATTGAAAAGTACTAAAATCGGGTTATTGATTTTGAAGATCTTTTCGGAAGATTCAAAATTGAAAATTTCAATTGCTTATTTTTGGGAAAATGATTGATAAATATGAAGAATATGCTATATTGATTTCAAAAATATCTACCAAATAAATTTTATAGACTATCAGTCATCATAGTGATCTGATAGTTTTTAAAAGTGACGCTTACTGTGAAATTTAACCACTTAATTGAGATTTTGCATAGTTTGATTAATTACAGTATTCTAATCAATATTGAAACTATATCTTAAAAATCAAAAATCTTCCTTTTGGTTTTACATGTATGTCAGATGGCGATTTTTTAGCTACCGGGCAAAAAGCTAAGGTCTCTTAATTATTTAAAACCGCAGAATATTGTATTTGATATTCAATTTTTTTTTCACACACAATATTGAGAAAAAAATACGGTTTTATTTGATATAGATATTTCGAAGTTAATGTACGCATCATCAAAACAAGAATACAAAATAGTAGTTTTCGGAGCAGGTGGTGTTGGTAAATCTGCTCTAACTATTCAGTTTGTCCAAGGTCAATTTGTTAAAGACTACAACCCAACGATTGAAGATGCCTATAATAAACGTTTCAGCGTAGATGGAAGAATACTACAATTGAATGTTACAGATACTGCTGGTCAAGATGACTTTGCTGCTATGAGAACTGCTTACATGAGAACAGGAGAAGGCTTTATATTGGTTTATTCTATTATTGACAGGTTTTCATTTGAAGATGTTGAGAAATTTTACAAGGAACTTATAAGAAGCAAAGGAACAGAAAAATTTACTTGTGTTTTGTGCGGAAACAAATCTGACTTAGAAGGATCTAGAAAAGTTTCAAAAGCTGAAGGCCAAGAGCTTGCCAACAAACTCAACTGTCAATTTTTCGAAACATCAGCAAAAAACAATCACAATATTGTTGAAACATTTGAATATTTATCCAGGGAATACTTTAAGATTCATGACATCTCCTCAGGTAAATCAGGTAAAAAAGAACCCTCTTGTGAATGTCTACTTTTGTGAAATTGATCAGATTTCATAGTTATCAATGAAATTGCTAGCGCTGTTAAGAAGGACCTCCACCATTCCTATTCAACCCGATAAAGGATCGAAATCCATATAGTTTTGTTATTTTATCAATTATATTGGAACAAAATTTTGTCTAATTGCACAACGAAGCCAACATACCCCCAAATAATAATTAATGCCATCATTCCTATGAATCATTTGTGAGATTTCCTTTATAATCAGAAATTATTCTTATTTCTCTTTGGAAAATTAGGAATACTGATGGTTTGTATCATGTTCTTTGTGTTTAGTGATGATTTTGGAGTTAACTCTTGTGCAAAATCAAATTTTTAAATTTTGTTTCAAATCCATATATATCAGATTGTAATTTTGCTTATTTTAATGTATATTGTATGAGATCTCTTTATAAATCCTTAAAATTATTTTTTTATTTTCCGTTGTTTGACTTCATATAAGCGTTTTCCTGTTCCCAATGGCTTTGTTTCTTCGAGAATTCTCTTCCGAAAGTTCATTTTTTATTTCTTATCTCAAATGAATTCGACAATAGTTTCACTTTCAATTTCCAGCATTTCGCAATCACCATTAATATTTCATGGAATTGGTTCCTTAAAGCGATGCGATAAGTTCTCTTCAATAAAAGCAACAAAATTCGCAAATTCGTTTTTTAGATCTAGCAACACCAATGCAGAATTCATTAATTCAGCTTTTACAAAGTTTCTAAATACACCTGTTAAAATCTCTACTCTGAAATACTCAAGCGAATTCTTCCATACAACAGAAAAAATTAAAGACGAAACTACAGCAATATTCAGAAACTGCATTTTCAGAAAATGCTCCAAGAAGAAAGGCCTTGGTGGTGGAATTAGCTACCAAAACGATGATGGCCAAATTTTGATTTCGGATTGTTGCTTTTTCAAATGCTCTTCTGGAAGTTGTGGAGCATTTTTCATTAGGTCTAAGATTCATGATATTAAATCTACATGCATTAAGAAATGCCATGCTTTATTATCTGATATTATGTTCAGAATTACAGGACCAAAATATCCGAGCATTAATGATATTGTCATAGAGCCATCAAAGATTGAACAAATATCTTGTTCACTAAATGGCCCCTTAAATATATCAGATGTTACCGGATTAATGTTGTTTTATCATATAATAGTTGATATCTCAAATTCAAACGTTTCCAAATCATACCCTGTTAAAGAACGTGGTGCAATTGAATCTCAATACGCAGAATTTTTCAGGTTTTCTTTCATTCATTTTGAAAATAACCAAGGACCAGGTCTTATCTTCCTTGACAGCAATAAAGGAGACTCAGAAATTGCTTACTGCAACTTCATTGAAAATAATCCAGGAACTTCCTTGAAATTATTTGAAATTCACACCAAAAAGACACATATTTCAAATTGTGTGATACAGAACATCGTAAATATTAATGAATTAGTTGAGATGATAACTCCGAAAGCCGCAGTTTTCGTAAGTTGCGTTTTCGATTTATCTGAAAGTAAAATCGGTTCTTTAAACCTTACAAATGCCTTTAAGAACTGCATATACAAAGAGAAATCACCAGCATTGAACAAAATCATCTCTTTGAACGAAAAATTCTGTTTTAGAACTCAATTTTCTGAAACATTTTCTCCTACTGTTCAATACACGGCAAATTCGGATGAAAATTTTGTGGCTGGACAACAAGAACTTTCATCTGAAACAGCCACAAAAGCGCTTTATCCGAAAACTTTAAGAATTAGACAGTATTCACTATTTATAGCATGTGCAATTGGTATCCCTCTATTCTATTTGATGAAGACATTAAGACAAAACCAACTATCTCGCTCAAATTTGAGGAGAAAGAATTAATTTTATATTATTGTCTTTGTTTGTTAGTATAAACATAATACATAGATTGTTTGTTCGCATTCAAACATATTTTTATCGGTATAAATTAGTTTATTCAAAATTGATTCAAATTATATTCTTAATATCTCATTAAATTTCACACATTTGTTAAGACTCTTTTACAACATCAAGAGAAATTTAGTTCTTGCTGATCAATTGTTCATTTTTAAATGGAGATTCTTGATCAATACGATGAGGCAGAGGAGAATATCACATCAATTTTAAGTTTTGAAATCCAATCTCAGAATGATTCACTTAGGGTCGAGAATGATACATTAAAAAAGCAAATGCAAGCAAAAAATGCAATAATTCAACAATTAGAATCACAAATCAACTCAAATGAAATCGATGATGCTATATTACAGGAGTTTAATAAGATAATCGATGCATTTGATCTAGATCAAAAAACTTTAGATAAATTAAATTACGTTATAGACTCAAATGATCCTATTTTACAGATAAAAACTCTTTGTACCTTCTTTGTAAATCATATTAAACGTCAAAATAGAGTAATTGTCCGCCTTGGAGGAATTGTGAAAGATAATGCAGATTTTCTCATTTCCTTGATACAATCACAGACTGAAAATAAGTTCAAAGATATGATTGTCAACAGAGCTGAGAAAACTATTGATTCAATTAAAGGTTTAACAGTATCTCCAACGAAATTCGACACGATGAAATCAATCTTATCAAATAACGTCGATTTTGATGAACGCAAGAAGCTAATAGAATCTGCTAGTACCAACAATAACATTTCTAAAGAAGAATTACAAGCTTTATTTATCAGAAAAGTTTCAATTACTTCTTCTTTTGCTCAGAAGCTCATGGAAGAGAGAATAGCAAATGCAAATAGAGAACCGGAATTTTCCATATCAGATGATACTATTAATAGATTAACAACAATTTTTGGTCATAAAATTTCAAATTCACCAGAAAAATTTGAAAATGATCTTAATATTATATGCTCTGCATGTGAGAAGTATCAGCAAATGTATGGAACTGATCTATTCTCCCTAATTAATGATATGCAAGCAAAAATAGATTCATTACAAGCTCTTGATGCCAGGAATAGAGCAATCTTAGCAATGCAAGCAGCAGAATTAGCAAAATATGTTTCATAAAATAATTTTTTAAGAAATAAACAATAAAATGTTCTTTTACTTTAATACAACCAAAAACACTTTTACTTAGAGTAAAATTTAATGCCGTGAGGTGGTAAGTCAACCAATGTTAATGTAGTTTTGAGGGTGAATAAGAATACAGTTATAAATTCGAAAACTGAAGTTGTAGATACGATTGTATTATTGTGAGGGTTAATAAATAAAGGCCATAATGATAATTGTAGACAAATTATGCCTAAAATTGTAACAAACATCGAATACCATTTTATTTTCTTTTTAACGCAAATAATTATGATGTCGTAGCATAAAAAGTAGAAGCTAACAGTGTAAAAGTAGATAAAAGGGCACATGTTGTGGACATTAAAGAATTCTCGTACTGTAAAGTTTGCAAGGCCAATAAAAGCTGGTGGAGACACGAAAGCGAAGATAATGCATATCCATTTAAGAAGGTGAAGGTACCATTTTGATTCTCTTGTAATTATAACGTTTAAATAATGATGGCGCAAGATAAATACTAAAGATTGAAGAAGGGCCATGATTGTCATACTGATGTTGAATATTCTTGATTCTGGAAGGAACACAACTGACTCGGAAATAGTAACAATTGTATATTTATAAACTTTGTTATGTCTGAGAGCATAATAAATACTCACCGCAATTGCTATCATAACTAAAGGAAATATACATGAAAAAATATATATCCATTTAGCAGGGAATTGGACAATTCGCGATTTATTCGAATTCATCTGTCACTTTTTTATTTTTTTACGGTTATCAGAGCAGAGCTGAAATAAATTGAACGGGGAATATTTTTCCCCATATCACTAAATATGGCTTGTGCTGGTGATTACCATCAATATTTCTTTTCTATTGATTCGACAATTTTCGATTTGAGGCAAAATGATCATTTAACATCAATAATCAAGAGCGTACAAAATAAAGGCCTAATTTTATTGTTATGATTTTCTTTTTAAATATCATTTATCAAGATATTAACAGAAGTTGTTATTCAACTGATGGAAAAAAACTCAATAGAGTCACAGACCAATACTCATACCTCAGAATATCAGCTGCATGTGAAATAATAAAAGGACACTTTCAAGATTCATTAATTTCATTTACATTTGAAGATAATCCTCAATTAACAACAATTGGGACTTCTTGTTTTGCGTATTGCAAGAACCATACTACTATCAATTTATCGACTTGCAGTAAACTTAAAATAATAGGTGAAACTGCATTTGAATTTTGCGAAGCAGTTACTGAAGTAATTCTACCAGAAGGACTTCTTGAAATTCAATTCCAAGCTTTTCTCGGTGTTTCAAAATTAGTAAGCATTACAATTCCAGTATCTGTTGAAAAAATATATAAGAATGCATTTTATCAGATATCTAGTCTTAGAAATGTTCAATTTAAAGAAGGTTCAAAATTAACCTCATTAGAAGAAGGAGTATTTTCTCTCTTAAATAGAATTTCTACATTCCAAATTCCAGAAAATGTCGCTTTTATACATGGATATGCTTTGGATTATCCATATTTAGATTATCTCACAATTCATCCTAAAAATAAATATTTGATACTTGGACCAGCCAATTCTGTTTTGTCTGCAAATAGAAGCATTTTATATTTCGTTGGTAAAAAATATTTATCTTCATTTGAAGTTCCAGAACAAGTCACAACTATAAAAACATTTTGCTTCTTCAGAGCTTATTTTAGAACAATAAAATGTTGAGAGGTTATCGATTTTGTAATTTAATCGTCGTCGTTATCGATTTTGTAATTTAATCGTTATCGTCTTTTTCTAAACGTGCATTTTTACATTAAAAGCAATGCAACTCCAAAATTAATTGGTATTTAGACTTTAATTAGGTGCAGACAAACGAAATGCAGTCCAAATATTTTGGTGATATATGAATTACATAAATTTAGGGAAATTGAAATTATATCTTTTTAAATTTTTAGGAAAACAGATTTATAGAATTGTTTAAGTCATCAAAATAATGCAGACTTAGGTCAAATTTTCCAAATTTAATCATTTGCAAGACTTTCAAGCGACTTCAAAATGTCGAAATATAAGTCCAAAAATAAAATTACGATTACAGTCTATCCTCAATTATTATCACGCTAATTATTGAGTGACCCATGCGTTCGTATGTATGTAATACCTTTTAAAAAGGAGATGAGAGAGATAAACTACATTTACAATTTAAATCTGATGTATTTACTTGTTACATTTACAAATGTAAATGTTTCTCGTAATGTTTACATTTTGTAAGTATAACGAATAAAAATGACGCACTTTTTTTACAAAGTCAAATTATGCGATACAACTTTACTTGTTACATTTACAAATGTAAATGTTTCTCGTAATGTTTACATTTTGTAAGTATAACGAATAAAAATGACGCACTTTTTTTACAAAGTCAAATTATTGTTCGATTTTTGCAGCTTGTAAACGATTAATTGTATAAAGCAATTGATATTAGCACGACATAACTGAATAATTCTAATATTGAAATCAAAAGCCCTTAAAATATCATGATATTTTAATTTCATAACAAATCTAGGAGACTATTTGATGAAAACATATCCGATGTGGTTTTTGTTGTATTATATAACTTGTTATTGACTTCTTAGCTTTCGAAATTTTTTTCGATAATGAGAAAACGAATGAAAAATCAACATTTGGTCCATTTAAAATTTGATTTGTTTACATTTTTTTTACTTTTTGAATTTCAATTTATATTTTCCTCAAGAAATACTTTAGATTTTAAGAAACTAAATCATATAATCTACTAAGAAAATATATTAAATCCTATAATACTCAAAGTTTTGTGATAAATCCGATCTTTTTTATTTTACTTTTATTATGTTTTTGCAAACTTAAGGTCCTCACTAGGTAAAACATAATACTCTTTGAAGTTAAGTATTTTCACAAAGAGGGACCAACAATATCAAAAGATTGAATAAAGATTTGTATTATTTTATTTATTTTTAAGAACATGTTTAAGAACCCTCATTATCTCCACGAATATTGCATATTTTTCTATTCTAAGACCACCAAAATTACGTTTTAATATAGAAAATAACATATTTATGTGATGCTAAAGTCGAAGTCCTTAAAAATTAGTGTTAAACATCCATTTATTACAAAATTGAAGAAATATGTGTAAAATATAACACATAATTTAGTTATTTGACTCAATTATTAGTTATGCAATATCAGTTGTGTTTATATCTGCGTTATATTGTAATAAACAGAAATTCATCAAAAGTGACAGCTCTCAATTTTTTGACATTTGTAAATTCTAAATTGAATGAGAAAAATGAAATAATACTAAGCATAATACAATATTCTAGATTTAATTATAATTAGGAAAAAGTTAGTTTTGAGAGTACTTTTCATAGGCATATAGAATGAAATCTTCTGAAAAATAATATCACATAAACTCATATTATTTTCTAATATATAACTATTTTATATAAAAATCAAATTCAATGATCTTAAAAGCGAAGGATAAACCTCAAAATTTACGAATATAATGAGTGGGAATATAATGCTTATCTATCATAAAACCATATGAAATATCAATTTTTGCTTTACGCCTAATTTTTGACGACAATTAGCAAAAAATGTTTAAATGTTAACACTCAGTCCATTTGAATATGAAAAATAAAATTGACTTTGATTAAATGTTTTTATTTATCATGCAATTCTTCTTGCGACCAAAGATTTGAATAAAAGTTCAAAAAATAAGATAGCTTAAAAAATAATATACGGTAGTGTTTACTAATAGATGAATAGTATATAAATTCTATTAAAATGGATTTGATCCAAAAAAATATATAAAATTGATCATAAATAAAATCGTTTTAAATTACTTATTATTTAAATTATAACAATTATTTTTGGTTTTATATTTTTTTGGATCAAATCCATTTAATAGAATTTATATACTATTCATCTATAGTAAACACTACCGTTAAGGGTTTCGTTTTGCTAAAATTGTCACTTTTATAGCATATTTGTTTTTGGATGTTTTGCGAAACCAAAAAAAAAACTATGATATACAATGTGTGTGTAAAGAAAATACTTTATTTACTAGTTAAAAAATCATTTGGTATTGATCAAGTAGTAGTATAAGAAGAAGGGTTGTGTGACTTTTTTTGTTACATCTATATATAGACGATACATTAAAATATATTTATATACTAAACGCATTAAAAAATTAACATTAATTTTAAAATAATTTATTTTTTTATCTTTTATAAAAGAAGCTATATATAGATGATGTCAGATATTCCGCGATTAATTAAACATTGTTTAAATCCTGAATGGGTTTAAACTTCAATTTAAAAATGAAGATTGTGAATTATTAAATGAATATGAAAGCCAAAATAAGCTAATGAGGTATAAATATAATGATAAAGAATATTTAATTTCATGGAATCAATGGAGTCATAATCAAAGACCTCATAAACGAGAAGAAGAAATTGAAAATAATGAAATGGAAATCATTGATGACATTAAAGAGGATGGAATTCCTAAATTTTGTAGAAAAACCTTTAGAACTAAGTTAGGAGCATATAAACGTAGAGTATTAAATCCTGAATACATAAAACATTTATTTAAAAAGGAAGACTGTGAATTATTAAACGTTAATGAATATGAAATGCTAAATCAAAATGAAATAAAAATATATTGGAAGTGATGAAAGATGCAAGAGATAAAGATAAAGTTTATACAGTTTCATATAATAACTGGCACACGTTAGGGATAAGAAAACATTTAGGAGATTATGGGAAATGTTCTGAATTCTTTAAATCTAGTATATACGAGAGAGTAAAAGAAATTAGATATAATTATTTTCATGAATAAAAAAATAAACTTTAAAAATTCATGTCTTACGAAAAATTAAAAACTTAGTTATGTTTATTATTTATTTTTTTATTTTGTATGAAATGAGCGTCAAAACTAACAACGTTAAAAAATTAGGATTCACAAACGGGGAAATAAAGGATATATTAGAGGAGGTGGGTTATGAAGTTGATAATATTATTTAAGAAATTGTCAAAAATTTGCCGAGTTATTAAATGATTTAGATTATGATGGAAAAATGAATAAAGATGATGTTATAAATTTCTTATATCCCACATCTGAAGAAGAAAAACCTAAAGAACCTGATGTTTTCCCCGAATATTATGAAGAACGGATTAAAGATGATGAATACAATGAAATTGAAAGACTGGAAAAAATAAGAGATGAAATAGATGAAAAAATTAAGGAATTAAGAGAAGTTGAAAAATATAATGAAAATGAAGTAGAGGGTTTAATGAATATCCCAGCTTCAGAATCAGAAGTACAGAAATCTCATGAAGAAAGATATAAATTTTATGTCTCAGAATCAACACAAAATTTATTAGATGGTGAAATAGACGAAACACTTTCAGAAGAAGGTACTCAATTTATTCGTAAACATAAGCTACAGTTTATTGATAATGAAGAATACCCCTCTATATTACTTTCACCACCTTTAGATTCCGAAAAATTCAAAAAAGCTCTTAAAAACGTGACATATGCAACTAATACGATTAAGAAAGAAGATCATGATATTTACACAAATTATTATTTAAATAAATGCACTGGTGTTGATAAAGTTTTTGATTTATTAGATAAAATATCAAAAGAAACCATTGAACATATAAAATTTTGTGTGATTGTGGTTTCATTATTGAAGATACCAATAATGTTTCATATGAAAGAACAGCACCGAAGGAAGACGAAGTTGAAAGGTCTATACCATTCGTTATTAAGAACATAAAAGATATGAAAACTTATAAACATTATATTTATTCATTTATTTCAGAAAAAATGGAAGCAACCCATAAAACATCATCTTATCATTTTATAGCTATTCATACATTCCTTTTCAAAGTTGTGAAATTAAATAAGACAGGAATTAGATTTAATGTATCAGGGTACGCATTCTTGAGTAAATTAAAATGTATTCGTCACGTCGCAGATGATAAAAATTTATGTGTTCTTAATTCATTTTATGGACTTTAGCCCTGGACTTTAAAAAAATAAACTTTATTTTTTAATTTTTATTCTTACATAAATGAACAAAAATGGAACAGCTAAAATGAATGATAATCAAATAAGAGCCGAAGGTAGAAGGTTATTTAAACGCTTCTATAACATTCCTGATGGTGTTAATCCTAAAACTCGTAGAAGTTATTTAAATGAAGCCATAGATGCATATGAAGGATTTGACATTTCATCAGAAAGTGAGAGGTTAGCAAGAATGTTAAACGTTAATATTGATTTTTATTATTGTGACCCTCAACCAGAAGACGTAGACATTAACAAGGTAGACTTTCCATTAGTGGAATCAATAATGATAGATCCAGAATTTGAAACAGTAAATATTTTATTAACACAGAGTCCATGTGGAAAACTTCACGCTGACAGAATTACAGACGTTGAAGCACTCACAGGATATAAAGTTTGCCCCTTTTGCAAAGAAGAAGTTTATTCTATCCGTGATGATCCAGAAAGGAAAAACCAAAGAAGATTTTTAAAACATTGTGAGAAATGTAAAGAAAATAATGGAAGATTAATTCAAGACGTTCAATTGCAAAACACACAACAAATATGCACCACATATCACGAAACAGAAGATATATCAGTGGTTATTAGCTCACAATTTGCAGGAATATTATCAACCGACAAGATATTATATTACTTTTGACTTCGAAACATTAGAGACTAAAGAAGAACTTCAACTTTCTGACTGTGCAACTTTGAACGCTTACTTAAAACCATTTATGGTATCATCAACTGTCAAAATAAAGCCGCAAAGCGGCGAGGTCGTAGACCGTGATAAAACATTTACGAGGAATTTTTGCTTAACATCAAGTGATTCGTTCATCTCTGATTGGATTGAATTTTTATTTTCAACCTGTTCATTAGTTGCTAATCAAATATTGAACAATATGAAGAATTAATGAATGCATTAAATGAGAAACAAAAGGGCAATGAAAGAGCTTTTAGATGAAGAATTTAATAAAGTGAATATCATTGGTTTTAATTCGGGAAAGTTTGATTTAAATTTAATTCTTCGTGATTTAAACACTGCAAAATGGAAGATAAAATCAATGCTGGGTTCATCTTCACAATTTAAGCAAGTCATTGTAAAGAAAACAAACGTCCATATGAATTGAGATTTATTGACATCAGAAATTATATAGCGGGTGGACATTAGACCAATTCACTCAAGATTTCGGAAACAATAAATCACGTGTTAAATCCTTTTTCCCTTATCAATTCATCACATGGGAAATTACGAAGAAGAATTATATAAAGAGGAACCATTCACAGATGATTCATTTTATTCAGCATTAACCAAGAAACTATATCATTAGTGATTATCAAATATATCTCAATGATGCTAAAAACTTTAAGAATAGATTAGAATATTTTATTCATTATTGCAATAAAGATGTTGAAATTATGATTGACCCAATTGATAAAATTATCGAAGAAACATTTGTTTATAAAATTGACATGCTTCATAATCTTTCTTTATCATCGAATGCATCAATGATTCGTTACGCGTTAGCATATAAGAACTTCAATCCTAACGAAACATATCCAGAAGAAGAAAATGTGGAATCAAGTTTTGAATTAACGAAAAAGTATTGGAAATATAAAATTGAATCATATAAGAAACAAGATGAAAAGGTGAAAAGAGATACCAAAAACAATGTTTCAATGGATGACTATCAATACTATCACGATTTAATCCTTTCATCTAAATGCAAAATGTGTGGTAAAGCGTTTACATATGTAAATAAACCAACATTGGATGAGAATCGATAATGAAAAACCACATACAAAGAAAATTGTCAGTTAATGTGTTGTTATTGCAATGTCGTAAAATCAAATAAAGATGAAGATGTTCAACGTTTAAGAATCAATTTAAGAAATTATGCATTAAAAATAATTTACCAATGACTTTAGATTCAGTTGAGAGCTTATCACATTCTCCGTAATGGAATTACTGGTGGTCTATCAAAATGTTCAACATCGTGTTAATCTTAAAGGAATCACGCACATTAATAAACTTGATATAGTCCAGAAACTAAAACTGTATCAATATGAGGACACCACCAACATTATGACTCATTTCGTTGGTGTTGACTTTAATTCATTATATCCTTCATCATTTTCATCTAATCCTCATGATTTCATTCAATATACTGACCATAAAATGTATATGCCGGGAAGATTGAATGGTGTTATCATTTGTGATACAGCAACAAGAAAGCAAAAGCACTGGAATACTTAAGAAGAAAAATACTTTATTCGTGGCTGAAGTAAAGGGTCACATTGATGAAAAATACATTAATGATTACATAAACTTTTTACCGATAATAAGAAACTTAGATATTATCACAGATGAAAAAACAATTGGTAGTTTTATGTATAATTACATGAAATCAAAACAATCTACCAGTTGACCAGAAACGAGAAAATTAAACTCAGTTAGCATCAACACACAACCAATATCAACCATTTTCTTCTTATTATTATGGTATCTAATCGACAGATTTCATTTTATCATTGATGATATTCAATCAATTTTAACATTTTACTAAAAACACTTGTTTTAATGAATTTGCGAAAGAATTTATGAATGAAAGACAAAAGGCTGAATTAGAAGGAAATAAAGGAAAAAGTTTATTTTGCAAGATTTCACTTAATGGATCATATGGTTACGATGCAATGAATACACAAAATTACGCAAAGACTAAAAATAATGAATGCACAGAAGGCACGCGTTGCATGTATGTCAAATAAGTTTAAAAACATAAGAGAAATAGGTGAGATACATATCAAGTGATGCTCAAAAGATAGATTTTATAGATGTGATACATGTTTACAAGAGGCATTCTTCACTTTAGATAATGCTAAATACTGGTATTTGGTTTTCATTTATGATTTTATGTATAAATGCTTGAATGTTAATCGTTTTCATTTCATTGAAGGTGATACTGATTCATCTTATTGGGCATCGCTGGCGACCCAAATCTTCCTAACACTCAAGCATTTCAAGCAATTGTTACCGATAAACAATTTTATGATAAAAACATTTTCAAATTCGCACCTTTTGATTTCTTCTGTTTTGATGAGAAATTTAAACCTAAATTAAAGAATAAAGCTGAAGAAAAAGCACATGAGAAAAAATTATTGGGTTTAGCAATTGAGAAACAAGGCGATAACATGGTTGCTTTATGTCCTAAGTGTTATACATCATTCAATGGTTCAATTGATGGAAGTGATTTTAAAAAGATTGCACAAAAAATGAAAGGTGTTAGTTTACGACAAAATAAACAATTAACACCTAAAAATTATTTGGATATAATAAATGATAAATTGATATTTGATGGTCAGAATATTAATTTACAACTTAAAAATGGTCAATGACTCGCTTAACAATTGGTAAGACTGCATTAAACAGGAGCACACACTAAGGCTGTATGTTGTGAAAATGGATGTTGTATGCCATTTATTTAATAAAATGCCACAGAAGAGACAAAAGGAACCGTTAATGATGGTTTTTGATACTATGATTCAAAGAGGTGGGCACCCTTAAAACATTGATTTTATTTTTATATAAATGGATAACACAGATTTAAAAATTTTAATTGATGATTTAGTACTTAATCAAAATTTTCTTGATTATTATGATTTAAAAGCATATCTCAAAAATATGATAACAATATAACGGGTGATGATATGGAATATTATTATCCATATTATAAAAATGAAATTTTTGAAATATCATAATAAAATAATTTCTGAAATTAAAGACAAAATTAAAAATAATGAATATCAAAGGGAAAAACTAAATCACAACTTAAACAGTTGAAAGATTTCAAAAATAAAGTATTAACAGAAGAAGATATTGATGAATTATATAATTATATAATCCTGAGCCACAAAAACCAAAGGAACAAAAACGCCCTAAGGTCCTTCAGACCATAAATGAAGCACAAGCTTTAATTTATGATTCATTAGTTAAACCATATTCAGCCCGACTTTTAAATGAAGATCAACTTTTGGAATTCATCCTTCAACATAAACTCGAAGCGGGAAAGTATATCAAACCTTTATATACAGCATATTTAAAACAAATGAATAGAATACATCCAGAATTAATGAAGGAAGGAATGAAATCCAAAATCAAAGCAGATAAAATTAAACCACTTGCAACACCAAAACCTCCAACGACAGTACCGCCTCCTCCTTCAGTTAATCCTTCATCATTCACTTTATTATATCCATTTCAAACATTAAAGAAGCAAAAAGATTTTAAAAAGGATTTCAAGATATTAAATAAACCAATTGACCCAAAAATTCAACCGTTAAAGGAAAAATTTAGTCGCCCTTCATTTGCTCCATATCCATATTCATACGAAATCGATCATCTGGAATATTCAAAAGGAAAGTTACTTATTTATTTGCCATTAACATTAACACTAGATATTTATATTGCATTCCAGTGAAAGGGAAAACAGAACAGGAAACAAGAAGAGCTATTCAATACTTACTAGATCATGAAAGAGTGGATAATATCAGGGGTGATGGTGATAAAGGATTTCAGGCAGCTATGACTCATTATTTCCCACAAATTAATTTTTCTTTTCATCCTCTCCATATACGTTTCATAATAAAATAGTTGATGCGGTAATGAGAACTCTTAGAGATGCGTTAGGGGTTAACGGTCAGATATACTGGGATGGAAATCATGACTCCATCATACAACAGTTAGTATATTATTACAATAATACATGGCATAGAACTATAAACATGAAACCAGTGGAAATGAAAAATGATATTTCAAAAGAATGGGGATATATTAGAAAGCAAATGGAAAGGTTGAATGATGTTAAACGTGAACAAATTAATTCGGGGCTCATGAATTTTAAACAAGGAAATAAAGTTTTAATTCATCTCGATTATGGAAAAACTGATAAATCAATGACAAAAAGAAGACGAAGATTTGACACAATAGCTGAATTTGTTAGATATATTAACGGCAATGCATTAGTTGAAGTTGACAATAAATTAATAGAAATTCCAATTTATTTTATTACTCCATTATATTTAAATAATATTTAATTTTTTTTATTTCGTAAGAAATGAGTGACAACGAAGCAGTCAAGAGTCCAGACGATGAATATAAAAAGAAACTAAACAGAATTAAATCAAAAATATGCTATTACAAAAAGAAGCCACAATGCGGTGGGGTTGAAAACGATAAAGAAATAATCGAAAAATTAGAAACTTATCGTTCAATCATTAAACTGAGTGAAGCAAAAATAAAAGAATTTAATAGAATAAATAAATTGATTGGAAGAGATGAATTTAATAAAGATGAATTTTTAAACTCAATCCAAATTTAATTTTTATTCCTTTTTGACAACATCTCTCTTTCCATCATTACTGCATAACCGCATTTTCTCAATTTTAGTGGTTTGTTATTTTTAGCAAGTTCTCGCATCATTTTTATCGTTTCCTCCCTTGTTATGATTCGTGGTAAATTTTGAGCTTGTGGGGTATCCATTTATGATAAAAATAAAAATTTAAATTATGCCGTTTTAAAGTTTGTGACAACATGACATTTTGACAACAGTCCCGGAAATGATTTGTCATGACTTCATCGTAATGAGTGTAAATGACCCA